ATGTAAGAGGAAGATATCTAACATACTGAGCTAGTTACAAACAATAAGTTACTTGTCATTAATTCATTTTTCCAGTGATAAAGGTAAACCTACACTGCAATACATAACAAAAACCAAAACCAAAAAAATCACTGTAATACCTCAATGGCTTATATATATATATTTGAGAGAAACACGGAGTACCATATTTAGGCAACAGGTTTATATACACTGCCTACATGGTCGTGCGGTACAGATTCTCTACACCTTCATTTCTTTGGGATTTACTGTACCTCACGAAGCAGTGAGAATAGGCCACGGATTAGCCCACCCTATCATAATGCCATTATATACAGTGGGGTCTCGACTTAAGAACTGTGAGTGCAATGACAAATAAATTTCTTATGTCTTATGTCTTATTCATTCATTTTTCCAGTGATAAAGGTAAACCTACACTGCAATACATAACAAAAATCAAAACCAAAAAAATCACTGTAACAGGCAACAGGTTTATATACACTGCCTACATGGTCGTGCGGTACAGATTCTCTACACCTTCATTTCTTTGGGATTTACTGTACCTCATGAAGCAGTGAGAACAGGCCACGGATTAGCCCACTTTATCATAATGCCATTATGTATTATATAGATACTTCTTGATCGGAACAGAGGAGTTCAACCAACTTCACCACACCATTCTTGTACTGGTTCTATTGGCCAATCAAGCCTCAACATTTATCTAAACCTAGCACTAACTGATAGCTATTCTACAATCCACTGTTTATGGATCATAAAATTACCAATATGCTAGCAGGGTAGCTCTGCTCAGCCACAAAACAAATTTCACAAAGACAAATCTCTACATTGTATAAAACAATATACTGCACAGTATTTTAATTCTCCCTTCTTTCACAAGGGGAAGAGATTAATTCACATATTTAGCAAAACCTTCGTCTCCCAGACTGATCCTGGTCTTCTGACAAGGCTTGAAGGTGCTTTAATAATTCAAATTAGAAAGAGTCAGCCAACCAAATTAATTAAACCAGAGTTCTATTTCTTCCTTTGCTTTCACATATAAAAACCTGTTTCAGCAAATCTAAATAGCAGATTTCTGCTGAAGTCACCCAAGCTAATTTTTTTAGCACACACCCCGATTTTCCAAAATATTGTTTCTCTAAACAGCCACCCCAAAAATACAAAAGGTCCATCACTGGGGGAGGGGAGGAACAGGTAGAACAGCTACCTGCTCCTTTCCTGTCTTATCTGAAGTGATCTGAAGCCTATACTGCTCTGCTTACTGGTTACTCATTTATCATACTTAAAGCTCTATATATTTTACCTCACTTGAATGAACTAATTCAGGACTATATAATTCCCAGTTTCTGCCCACCAATTATGCAAGTGAGAAACTGGGGAATACGTCATCTGAACGAACACTTCAAAGTGCATTATGCTAACACGTACAGTTTTAGATAAAACTAATACTTTTAACAAAATTAACCACTAAAGAAATTTAAACACAGGTCTAAAATTGTAGATAAGACAGGAAGACACTTGGTATCTGCACTCCACTTTTTCAATAGCTGACAATGCTGCTGAGGTCCCCCCCCTTCTACCGATGAAGAAGAGAAGACACACGTGACCCTTGCATTCCTGGCCAAACTAGACTCTGAACCTCAGCCCATCTAAGATTTCCATCCCTTTGATAATAGAACATCAAGAATGTGAGGAGAATTCAAATGGTTGGAAGGGGCAGTTTAAGAACAGTGTGTGTGAACATCTCAGGTTAAACAAGATAAATTACTAAAATCTAATCAGATCACTGCCTCGTTTTCAAGATTCTACTTCTCATATTTTGGGTAGTCCACACTTAAAAGCTTACAAACAATGTTCTAAAAATCTCTTCAATTTTTTCTTCATCCAGGAACAATCTTGCAAAAAGCACTATGCTTTTTTAAAAAACCTAGTCTGCCAGAAGTCCAATTTCCTTTGAACCTCATGATGTCCAGCACTGAAAGCTCCTCTAAATAAATCTTCATGTACAGGATCTTTTTAAAAAATCAATGCTGTCATCGTCTGCAAAGCCAGGGTCACAGAAACAGATCCTGTTTCTCAGTCTCATTCCTTCCACTCCCTTGAGATGCCATACGTGTTCAAGCAACCACTCTAGAGTTTAACAAACATCCTGCTATCTGAGCAAATCTCCAGCTAGTGTAGAGAAGCCAAGTGAGGTACTTCTGGGAAAATCTGGCTCCAGAATTAATAGATGTCAGCTTCAAGGCTGTCATTTCCAAATGCACTCTCTGACAGCTCTACTCTTTCCAGGTCCTCCTAACTCCAGCCTTCTTCAAGCTCACTTGTTCAGATAGTCTACATGTTTACCTAAATCTTCAATGTAATATTTAGAATCTTATGATTGAACAGCATCTTAAATCTCCTATAGTCCAGTTGAGACTATAATTAACATACTGGGGGGGCACACAAATTAGCCCTGTTCCCATTGTCACTGTGAGGGGCACTGGTTGGTGAAGCCTGCACTCCCTATTCAGATGATGATGGTGCAAAACATAAACGCAGTACACCTTCACTCTTGTTAAAACACCATGGATACATCAGGTGTGGGGCCAACCATTCTCTTTCAAGATAAGCAAGATTGATCTTTTCGATTTATTTGATCTATTTTAAAATTGTCAATGTTTAGGGTGGCCTATTTCTGCACAGGGTGGGGAACAAATTTACTTTTTAAAAATCATAACTCAAAAACTCTTCGCACAAGCCTCCCTAAATTCAGCATACACCAAGAGAAGGCCAAACCCTATGCCAAATCTGGTTCAGATCCAAAGTTCAATTTAGAAGTTGTTATATATATATTTGTTTGTGCTGCCCCAATTTGGGGGGGGTAACAGCTGGAATATAAGTGTTTTATATTTTTAAGTATAGTAAGATATCTGATTAGGAGCTTTCTCATACAAGGGCAAATAAAAAATGCAAGTACTGTAGTAATATTGTGAAAGGGGCAGGGAAAGGTATGTGAGTAAAAGAGACAACTGAAATACATAGGGAAGTGACGTTTGCACCATTGTTTTTTTTTTAATACAAAATTGTAAGGATGGACAACAGTGGTTCCAAAAGGTGTTAGATCAAAATCTGCTGACATAAACGAAGTTTAAAAAAAATGTACAGTGCCTGTTAAAACACACACTGGCTGGATTCTGTGAGGTATGATTTTATACCCAGTCCAACATCCTGCTGTTCTTATGGCTGATTTTTAATTACAATGCAGAAGAAATGAACACATGCAAGTTTTACCTTTGATTACTCAAAGCAGTTCCTAAAAGTATCTCAGTTCTAAGATAGCTGTTTTTATATTTAGCACAGTTTGATGTGCAAATCTACTGACTTCTTAAACAAAGAATGACTTAAATTTTATATCTAAATAGATAAGGATTTGGCTCAGTTTGAATGGAAAGCAAGACCACCGTTTCAACAAACAGCACTGCAAACAAGCTTTACTCTCATTACCATGCACTCCAATTCAATTCAGTTACTCCTAATTAATTCAAACAACCATTCAGTAACATTTTCAAAACAGCAAAGATGTGGTTACTCCCCATAACTATGGTTCTTTGAATGGTGATCCATGTGTTCACACAAATGGAGTTTGCGCCTGCATGAATGCCGGTTTGGAAAGTTCCAGAACTTCAAAAGCAAAAGCCTCTTTGCCTCTACTACAGAAGCACTGCCCCGTTCTCCTCAGTCCACGTTGTCCACCACAAGACAGAGAATGAAACAAGAGGGAAAGGGATGTGTGGATAAATGAATCACCACTTGAAGAACCATAGTTATGGGGAGTAACCTCTTCTTCGTGGTGTCCCTGTATGCACACAAATGGGGAGACTGGCAAGCTGATGTTTGGTGGTGGGAGTTAAGCCAGCATAGAAGACAGAACAGCCTTGCCAAAAGAAGCATCTCTCTGGGCTCTAAAGTCTAATCTATAAGGGGTAACAAAGGTGAGAGGCTGTGAGCATGTTCTGCTCGACAGATGTCTTGTATGTCAATACCCCTTAGGAATGCAGCAGAAATGGCGATGCCTCTGGTGGAGTGGCTTGTTGGTCATTTCAAAAACACGAGAAATAGCCATGGTGATCCATTTTGAGAAACGTTAAGAGGAGTATGCATTCAGTGATGAGAAGCATAGAACATTCTATCGCATACCCATGGGTAATGATGTTGAGTACCCAGGCGCCTGAGGCGATGTGCCGGGTGTGAAGGAAGGGTGCTAAACATATAAATGTGTGGATGAAAATATGAAAGAGAAATAATCTCTTTAAACAACATCTCTCACACACTTTTTTTCCCTTTTTAGCTAAGAGGTGAAGGAGAAGAAGATGAAAAAAGAAAAGGAAAGACTTATTGCTAAATGATGCAGGTAAGTGTGAAGAGGCTCTGGAGCAGTCCAACGCATGCTGTCACGGTGGCAGACAAAAACAGACTTGAGGAGACCGGGGCCACACCTGCACGGTAGAGGCAAAGACACTTTCGCTTTTGGGGCTCTGGAACTTTCTGAACCAGCGTCCATGCAAGTGCAAACCCCATTTGTGTGCATAGATGGGCACCAGGAAGAAGAATTATGCTTTTCATTTTCCCTCCCAACGAAGACAGATTCAATCGGCAATTTGCAATTCTACTTTGGAGGGCAAGTGCAACCTGTTTCACAGGGCATCCCTTGGCAACAGAATCCCTTCCATAATGCCCATGTTGACTCTTCTCCAGCTTATACTTTATTACAAGACTCGAAGACTGAATATTATTTTGCCCACATCCATGAATTTATCAGCCTCCTTACTATGCTTTTTTTTTGAGACAGACGGGAGAACTTTGATGCCCAGTTGATTCCTTTGAAATGCCATTACACTCTGTTCACTTGCTTTTCTTGCCCTAGCATTTGAGAACAATGATGCATCGCCAAGGAGGAAAGTTCCCTTTTCCTTAAATGCAAATGAAATAATCATGTTACTTACGATAATCTCTATGAATTTCATCTATTTCATTCTCGGTCTGGTGCTTTGTAAATGTCATGCTCTGCAACAATGGAACAAACATCACTTTTTAATGAAGAAGGGGTGAGAAGTATAAAGATATATGCAAGTGTTTTAAGATAATAATTATCCTGAAGCTCAAAATAGTTTTTTCAATTCCCATTTTGCTCCCACTCCCCTCTTAACAGCTCCTTTTTTAGCCCCTTTTCCTACCACATCCAAGCAATCTAAATGCATTTAACATTTGCTGAACTACTAAAAGGAGACCTTTTCTCTTCAAAACACCATTGCAATGTTTAAAAAGAGCTAGACATTTGCTAGAATCCCACAGAGAGTTTGAAAGTTTTGGCACAGCAGTAACTATATGTCATTCTGTACACACATAAAATTATCAAGCTCTATGGGAATATCTCTCTTTCCTTTTACTCCAAAATCTCAAGAGTACAATCTCTTAAAGAAAACAGGTCATCATTATTTCAAAAGAGTATACTGGGGAAAAGGCAACTTTAGGTCTTCCCTAAGGCTATTTGGGCAGAACAAATGCTCAGGTGGATTGTAAATAACACTGAGGAAGATGTGTAGACATACACTCATCAGCAAAAACCCACCAGTAAATTGCAACTATAGTAGGCCCACTGAATCAATAAAACTCATAGAGGAGCTGTCTCACTAAATCAAATAGGCCTACTCTAGTTGAGACTTACTACTGGATTTCAGTCAGTAAGACCAGAAAGCTCCTAATGAGTAACAACAGATGTTGCCTACACTCAAGGATATGTTGTATTGCCACATATGCTTTCTAAAACAAAATGCAATACATGTATGACATCAGATTTGCATTAGGAATAAAAACAAGCTTCTAGCCCTCAGATCTGTAGAAGAATATCAAAGTGCCCAGAACTAGTTCAGATACAGCATGCTTAGTCCTCTGTTTCCAATGGCCTCATGACCGGCAACAGGATTTCCAGTGTCCCTGAGATTCCATTAGTTAGATCAGCCATTCTCAACAGGGGTCATATAATTAGTTAGATCAGCCATTCTCAAGAGGGGTCATATGCCCATGTGGGGCCCTGGCACATTTGAAGGAGACCACAGACTGGCCCACGTGGGGCCCTGGCACATTTGAAGGAGGCCACAGACTGGAAACAATTTTTCACACATCACCTTACTGTATAAGATTCCTCATGCGATTCATAAAATCCTGATTCAGTCTATATTTCTTTCATATTGTCTTTATGGCTGTGTCCAAAACAAGGTTGAGAATGCCTGAGCTAGATCATGTTTTGCTGTAGCATATATCTAAACCACCGCACTTTGATGTGAACTTCTCTACCAAATGGAATTCCACAGTCACAAAAGATGCATTCATATTCTTATTTGGTAGGCAAGGACAAACCATAGCATGACGGTTTGAATGGTGCAGTAAACTTAATCTCCACTGAAGATGAACAAACCAACAAGTCCTGAGTCTATAAAGCAAGCAGGGTGGATAACAAACAATGGCTGATTTTCTTAAAATGGTTTTAAAAACTCAGTTTTTTTAAAATTTAAATCCACCCTAAAAGCAAGTAAATATAGAAGCCTGAAACAAAACCAGAGAGGAAGCAATTTTAGTTTGTTTCTGTGGGCATAACCAGATTTTAAAAAATAAATAAATAAGTATTATGGCACCCAAAGACTAGTATTTTAATTTCAGTGTGAGCACAAGTTGGCACTCTCGCCGAAATGGATCGGTTAGTCTTTAAAATGCCATATTTTTGTTTTTGTTTACAGACACCAGAAACTTGCTCATGCATCAACATTTTGTTTAGTTACAGATGTCTCAAACTTGCTCACGTATCAAATCATGGTATGACATTGCACGTGATCCATTTTCTGCCTATAGGCCCATGCAATTTTTGAGGCTATCTGGAGAGACTCTACTGGTGTTACCATAGCCCCAGTGTCTGCAACTCAGACATTCTTTGGAGTAGAGAACATAGCACTCTGTGAAATTAATCTTCCTAAATTCTAAATTTTAGGCACATGTTGAAGACTTTTATTTATGCATACCTTTCCAGCATCATTTAGCCTACCATATGCATTTAATTTTTATCAAGATGCTGATGCAGTTTATTGATCTTGTGTTTACGATTTTCGTGCATCACTTGGAAATCTCTTGATATAACCAGTAAAACTAGATTACCTCATTTTGCTCTCTCCAAAACAATTTGAAATTCCAGAAGTGGGCACAGAATACTTAAATAACAGAGCAAAACATACATACCGAAGAAAAATATATATGAAATTTAAGTTCTTTGTCATGTCATTGGAATTATTCAATTTGATGCATGTGTTACCATAAGCATAGCATGCCAACACAGTCATCAGCAATTCAGTAAGAGGTTCAGCTTGGAAATACAGCAACAATTATACCAATAGCTTCTGTATCATGCAATCCTACGTGAGAAGTGCTTCTAACTTACTTTCTCCCATGCTAAGCACATTTATGTATTTCCACAAGTCAGCATTTGTGTAATGGTAACAATAACCAGACAAAAAAAGAGGTGAATTCTCGAAGGCTTTCACGGCCGGGATCCGATGGTTGTTGTGGGTTTTCCGGGTTGTCTGGCTGTGTTATTAAGAAAAACCTTACGAACACAGCCAAACAGCCCGGAAAACCCACAACAACCAAAAAAGACGTGACATAATACTTGCTAAAACACAGGCTGGTTAAAAGGAGCTCTAAAAGCAGCCTGTGAATCAAAGAAAGCATCAGATTAAAACATACTGAATATAAAAAGAAACCCAAAAAACAGAACACAATATTCTTCTGTTTGTGGAACTACCCCCACTTCATCCTGAACAACCTGATTAGAATCAAGAGGAAAGAGGACTAGATTTAATTTGGACAAAAACTACTCATGTGCATTTTCAGTTGTCCACCACCATTGTTGAAAAGCCCCTTGTGGGATTTTTATTAAATGGAATAACATATGCCTCCTTCAATTTATTATGTCTCATCAAACATAACCAACTTACAACTTCTCTTGGTCTGCTGGATTCAAGCTGTACTCGAGTCTTCTCAATATCCTCCAGTTCTTTTACTATTTCAGCAACTGTTGAGATAAATCAGCATCATAAAGAGCAGCCCAGCTCCACAGGAGACGTCATATCTAAGTTTAAAATGTGTCTGAAAGAGTTTTTCATCTTTTCTGTTGGGACACAGAGTCACGCACACTGGTCACAAGCAAAACTATATTCTGACCTACCGAGATGGTACAAACAACCAAATTAGTGGAAATTGTTGAAAAAGGCTTTGGAATTTTATCAGCAAATACTTCTTTCACTCAAGCAGCATGGATCTGACTTAAATTTTAAAAATCAGATATTTTTACAATTGAAATCTTTAAAATCATTTTGTGTTTAAATTGTGACTTAAACCAATTAGTCAAAGGTTTTGCTATTATTCTATAACGAATAGACTGATCTTTTTCTGAAATTCTTTGACATGTTCCTGTAACCAGTAGATATTTGGAATATGATCTCAAGTGCCTCCTCCTTTTCCAAATACATCTTGAACATCAGGAATTTCTCATTCCAGAGAACATAAATGCCTTTGTTGCAATGCTTTGAGCATCACCTTGCTTACATGGGAAATTAGAGCAATGGTCCTACAATTACAGTAGTGCCTCGTATAACGAGTGCCCCGTTTTAACGACAAATCCGCATAGCGATGTGGATTTTGCGATCGCAAAAGCGATCTGATTGCGATTTTTCCCCATAGGCCCCATTTCCCCCCAGCTGACTGGCGGGCACTTCCGAGAGACTGCGGTGGAGGCTTCCCTGGCGGTCGCTCCGAAGCCTGCGCCACCCAGCTGGGGGGAGAAGGTTCGGAGCGCCCACGGTGGACGCTTCCCTGGCGGTCGCTCCGAAGCCTGGGCCACCCAGCTGGGGGGAGAAGATTCGGAGTGACCGTGGTGGATGCTTCCCCGGAGGTTGCTCTGACGCCTGCTTCAGAGCAACCTCCGGGGAAGCATCCACCGCGGGCGCTCGGAAGCCACCACTGCCCAGCTGGGGGGAAATGGCTGCCCAGATGGGGGATTCTTCACTTACAGGTGAGTTTTTCCCCAATAGGAATGCATCCATTGGAACGCATTAGGAACGCATGAAACGGTTCCCCCCCCCGCATAGCGAAGAATCCGGATAGCGACGTTAATCCTGGAACGGATTAACGTCGCTAGGCGGGGCACCACTGTATTGCATTCCTTGGCATGTCCTTTTTGGGGAATTGGAATTTATACTGAACTCTGCCAGTTTGTGGGCCATTGTTTTGTTTTCCATATTTGTTGGCCTATTATCATTAGGATTTTGACAGATTCCATCTCTGTGGCTTGAAATAGTTCTATCGGTATTCCATCTACTCCTGGTGATTTACTTCTAATTCCTTTCAGAGCAGCTTTCACTTCATATTCTAGAACTGCAGGTTCTTCATCAAGTAATTCCCCTTCAAAGAAATCTGCATTCCTTTTTTCATTTCTGTAGAGGCTGGAGGAGACTCTTGAGAGTCCCGAGGACTGTAAAGAGAACAAACCTATCCATTTTGAAGGAAATCAACCCTGAGTGCTCACTTGAAGGACAGATCCTGAAGCTGAGGCTTCAATACTTTAGCCACACAGTCAAAGGCTTTTGCACAGTCAATGAAGCAGAAGTAGATGTTTTTCTGGCACTCTCTGGCTTTCTTCATAATCCAGCGCATGTTAGCAATTTGGTCTCTAGTTCCTCTGCCCCTTCGAAATCCACCTTGTACTTCTGGGAGTTCTCGGTCTACATACTGCTAAAGCCTACCTTGGAGGATTTTGAGCACAACCTTGTTAGCATGTGAAATGGGTGCAATTGTACAGTAGTTGGACCATTATTTGGCACTGCCCTCCTTTGGGATTGGGATGTAGACTGATTTTTTCCAATCCTCTGGCCATGGCTGAGTTTTCCAAACTTGCTGGCATATTGAGTGTAGCACCTTAAAGCATCATCTTTTAAGATTTTAAATAGTTCAACTGGAATGCCGTCACCTCCACTGGCCTTGTTGTTAGCCAAGCTTTCTAAGGCCCACTTGACTTCACTCTCCAGGGTGTGTGACTCAAATTGAGCAACCACGCTATCTTGGTTGTCCGGGTCATCCAAATCTTTCTGGTATAATTCCTCTGTGTATTCTTGCCACCTCTTCTTGATGTCAGTATCAACTGGCAAATATTCTATACCACTCACACTTAAATGAAACAAAAAATGAAAACTGTATATATGTGCCTGAAAAACACTATGTGGATGAGTGATCATTTTATTTTATTTTAGCAGTATTTCCTACTCCTATTTATGCATTATATTTACTGTACAGTTCACACTAAATTCAAAACTGCCAAAGAAATCCAGCATGTCTCTGTGAGCAGCATGTGGGATTTGAGCATGATAGACCAGGTTCTGAACCCCTGACTTGCAATCAGCTCATTAGAAGACAACTTTGGGCAAACTCTTCATGTTTGCTCCATTTTAGCTCCCTTTATACGAAACCGAAGCATACTTGATCCATTTTACAGAGTCACTGTGAGATCAAACAAGCTGAACATGGGAAATCATTTGCAGGTTCAGTGGCCATACAGAAGATATGTAAACATTTTTAAAAATTGAGAGTATCTTTGGTAGTGCTCTTGCCTATCAACCCTACCAGAATTCCACTGGCATTGGGCTTTTCCTTTTTTGAATATATCTGGCCAAAGGAAAACATACTGCCGATAAAAACAAGAAAATAGCAGGATAATTTAGTGTGTCATAAAACAAAAAACAAATTCTGGCATCGCAAACAGATTGTGTTTTTCTTTGCACCATGTGTTTATTGATTTCAAGCTATTCCTATACAGAGGCTGTTACTACTTAACCTATGGGTATTTCCCATGGGAAAACAAAATCTGAAACTTAATTCCATCATGAATCTAATACCCTTTTAAAGAAATTGCTCCATAAATAAAGATATGAGAAATAAATCAACCCTGGGGTGTTTTCTGAACAGTTTAAAAGTACAGAGAACAAAAATATCTCATCTAAATAAAAAACTGAACTAGACTGAATCATCTCAAGCCTAAATTTCCCCAAAAATTCCTAATGTACTCCATCAAATACAATGCTAAATTATTGCTCTCGTCTCGTTTTTCAGCACAGCACTTCCATTTTAAGTTAACTACAGCTTGGCATTACATTGGAGTGCAAATCAGCCAATTTTAACTAGGTCATGGATTGCTTGATTTATTTCAAATATTGCTTGATTTATTTCAAATATTAAAGTGTAAAATTAACATAATGCTAGCCCTTACTGGTTAGGGACCTTGATACCTGTCAGAGCATCCCTCTCAAAAAAACAGCTACCTGCTTACCCAGTCCACCTAGCGCTATGGGGCGGTATATAAGTCCAAAAAATAAATAAATAAATAAATTAAAAAAGACAAAATGTATAGTGATTCCCGAGAAGTCCCGTGGGCCCAGACCCTTCAAACCCCGACAGAAAAAGATATGTGGCTCGACAAATGGGGGACTGCAGAGAACTAAGATGTCCCACCCAACTTAAAGTAGGCTGAGAACACACCAGAATCGATGGGTGCCAGAGTTGATGGACCCAAGAAGTTAACAGTTATTCCCCGTTGTCTTACCCAGAGATACCCAGTTTTACTAATGTAAAGACTTATGATTTGTTGTTGAAGTTGGATGATGACAAACAAGACCAAAAAATCAAAGAAGCCATGTTAAACAATAAAACGGTTTAATTAGAAGAATTGGGTATGACGAATTCTTCTTTGGACAAAGTAGAGAAAAGGGAGGTAGATGACAAGCGGCATCATCATGCCTACACATTTCTCATATATGGAATGTCTCTGGTCCACATTCAGAATCTCCATCCATGCACATTAGTATGTATGAAGAGCTCTTTCCTGCACTAGCAAAATGGACAAACAACAGTGAAGTGCTTCCAGTGAGGCAATGTAGCTATAGCACACAGCAGATAATATCAGGAATCAGGTCGTTTGCACAATATTTCTTTGCAAATAAAGACATGAGAAATAAATGCAATTCTGGGGTATTTTGTCAACAATTTTGGACAAAACTGTAAGATAAAACTTATTAGCCAGGGAAAAGAAAATGTGGGGTAGCATGAATGACCCTGAAATCCCTCTCATACAAGTTTTTAGTATATGAAGGGAGTTATGTGAGATAGCCTTATGATTTAGCACAGCAAGCCAACTTCTTAAACCTCAGTTTGAAGTTGGCTTGTTTCCCAGCTTTATGAACATAATGCAAAGAGATTGCAAGTGAATAAAAGGAGATGAACACGGATCAACATGATCAAGACTGAGAAGACTGTCTATAGGAAATGAACAAAAAAATTCTTCTTTGTTCATAATGTTTGGATCTGCGGCTGTAAAATGAAACTGAATGGCACGAGATTCAAATTATACAAAAGGAAGTTCATACAATTCTTTTTTGTTCATAATGTTTGGATCTGTGGCTGTAAAACGAAACTGAATGGCAGGAGATTCAAATTATACAAAAGGAAGTTCATCTTTACATAAAGAATATCACAAGATGAAGCAATGGTTGTGGACTTAGATGGCTCTAACTGAGGATAAGACAAATGTCATGAAGTTCAGTACTGCCAATGGTAATTAGTCCTCTTGATTTTTATTCTACTTTAATGGTCAGGAGTGGAATGAGAGCTTGAAACTTTCAGTCACTGGTGTTACAAATGGGGATATGAATTCATTGCTGTTACCTTTTAACCCTGCAAATGCTCACTGCACTGCAAAAGGGCTATTACTTTTTAATTAAATCATTAGTTTTACAATAAACAGTGTGTAACAAACATTTCATTTGCTATCAACTCCTTAAAAACTGCTCTTTTTGGTAGCTTTTGAATTTATACTATTTTATTTTAATTAATTTGTTTATTTCCATTTCTATACTAACTCACTAATGTTGCCAGCCTCTGGGTGGTTTACAATATGCAATAATCACCTTCCCATTCTGACTTTTTTTCCTGGACAGACTACAGATCTTAGAATACAATTATTAGAGTACAATTCTTACAGTACAATACAATTCTTACAGTACTTCCAGCATATGAAAACTATTAGTTTGGTGAAACATGTATGTCCTAACACAGGACCTCATATATCTATTCACACAGAAAAAGACACTCATGTAAATCTAAGATTAACTTTCTTCAACCACTTTCAAATGCACTTTTAAAACAAAGTGCTACAAGAGCTTTGTCTGAAACTATAAGCTATACAGGTGACAGCGGCCACAGCTGTGATACAAGCAGGATCTGAAGGCCTTAGAAATAGACCTCAACAGATGGGAAACCCTGACATCCGAGCGTTCAGCCTGGAGGCAGGTGGTTGCAGCACGGCCTCTCCCAATTTGAAGAGACCCTTGTCCAGCAGGCTGAGGCAAAGAGGAAGTCACAAAAGCAGCAAAACCAGGGAGCTGGACAGGGGACAGATTGGATTTGTCTTCAGTGTGGAAGAGATTGTCACTCTCGAATTGGCCTCCTCAGCCACACTAGACGCTGTTCCAAGTCCTTCATACAGAGCACGTTACCATAGTCTTTCGAGACTGAAGGATGCCTAATAATTAGGTTTCCCATGGGTAATGTAGTTTGAAAAGTGACAGCAGAAACAAGTGAGACAATCAAATTGGTGAGACCACAACTTCCCCAATCACTTCCGGCCTCCCCATATTAGACATAACAATTAAATAAATTATATTAAAAACAAGGGCTGAATTTTAAAAAATAAAAGAAAATGCATTCAAAAACAGTATTTTTAAAGCATTATTTTTACAGCATTAGATGAACTGGTGAATTTTTCTCCTATCTGATGGGGAAAACAATGAACTTAATGCTAACATACTAATTTTAAAGCCTAAGTTTAGAGAAGAAATTGTACCGCCTGAATACATTGCTGGAATAAAATAGTAGAAGGTTGTCATCACCATCTCCTGCCCGTGGGCTTCCCACAGGCATCTGCTTAGCTACTGTGAGAGTAGGATGATGGACTGCATAAGCCTTTCCACTGACCCAGGACAACTCTTACATTCACAGCATCATTCTTTTTGCTGAACAATTATATTTCTCTAGCTCTTGATAAAGTTTTAAGAAGTCAAATCAAAATACCCAGAACAGACATTTATGCTGTTGGCTATGACTAATGGAAGTATTACAATCGCATTTTAAGGGGCAAAATGTCAAGTTGCCTTCTCCCTTTATGTCTTTGGATCATATATTCCCCACTGTAACTTAGAGACATGCTAACTCTTAGGGGAAGGGATTTCTTTACTTTCAGCTATAATGGGAAATTTATTTGTCAGAAATGAGTCAGAAACTCCCCTGCTCTTTAGAGTATTCCAACTGTTCTATAAAGGGCTTCACATTTATTTGAGAATCCTCACCATGCATGTGAGAGGATAAATTATGTATTAATGTTAAATTTATAATAAATAATTACAAGGCTAGAAAACAGAAACATACAGCACACTTGTGAAATACAGGACAGCATAGGGGAGCCATTTCTATCCATCTCCCACAAATAAGAAATCAGCAGCAGCTAAATCATTTATACTTTTGGATAGCATTTTTCAAATACTAGAAAGGTAGTCATACAAAGAAGAGGCAGGATCTGTTCTTGATCATCCCATAGTGTGGGACACAGAAAAATGAGCTCAAGCTATAGGTAGTCAGATTTCAGCTGCATATCAGGAAAAAGTTCTTAACTGTTAGAGCAGTACAAAAATGGAACTGATTACCTCAGGAGGTAGTGAGTGCTCCAAAAATTGAAGCAATCAAGAGAAAATTAGACAACTATCTGTCAGATCTGCTTTGATTTGGATTCCTGCACTGAGCAGGAATTACCGTATTTTTCCAGGTATAAGACAATACTTTTGTCTAAAATGTTAAAAATTCATGACTGTCTTATACATGGAAGTAAGGAGGGGCAAGGATCAAAGCACTTTGATTCCTGCTTTCCCCCTCCACTTTCTTGTGAGGAAAGTGTTTTCCCCCCCTCCACTTTATTTGCAAAAAAGTGGAGTGGAAAGTGGAGGGGGAAAGCACTCACCTCGCAAGAAAGGTGAGGGGAAAAGCAGGAATCATCAAAGCACTTTGATTCCTGCTTTTCCTCTCACCTTTCTTGCAAGGAAAGTGGAGGGGGAAAGCACGTTCCTCTCAAGAAAGTGGAAATTTTGAGTTAGAAAGGGGGGAATCTTATACATGAGGGTGTCTTATACACAGAAAAATACGGTATCAATTATTGTTTACTCAATTATCCTATGATTCTGAGATTCTATGGTAATGCCTGAACTTGCAATCCTACGACTAATTCTGAACACAAAATCTTTTTGAGACAGTCAGAACAGAGAAACAGCTAGCCTGCACAAGGCAGTCGCCACACAATCACAATTTGTCATGGCCTCCAACACAGCAGCCATGTCATGTAAAGAAGGTCAAAGGAAGAATACAAGACAAGACAAAAAAATTAACTGGCAACTTAAAATGGCATATTTAAAATATGAATAAATGAACCGTCAGCAATTTTCAAGAAAAATATCATTTGAAATCTGCCTTCTCACCTGATTTTGGATTTAAAGAATCACACTGTGAATTATACATGTGCACAAACTCTTGATGTCTTTTAATAAGCTGTTGCTTTGTTCCCTGGGTGGACAGCCCATACTCTTTCAGCCTTTTCCTCAGATCTCGGTCAGAAAGCAGATTATAAACAACTTTAGGCAGTAACTTTCTTGTGTGTCCAGAGCTGAAAGAATTTTAAAAAAATCAGGAGAAGAAAGCATAGGACACATGAACAAATATTTAGGCTTGTGCTGCAGTACACTCAGTTTTTAAAAAAAAAATACAGGTTATAGGCACATAATACAATTATATCAGAAGGGTTTGATTAGATAAAAACACACCAGCTATTTTTCCTAAGATGATCCATAAGCATCACTGTGCCTGCTGGCCTTCCCTTCCATTATTTCAAAAGGTGAGAGATTGAGAGAGAGAGAGAGAGAGAGAGAAAGAGAGAGAGAGAGAGAGAGACTCCACTACATTAGCAAAAATGCCTAATAAGGAAATGTAAATCTCATTTTTCTGCTAACCTAGCCATTGAATGCCTTCTGTTATAGAGGCTGCTAAAAGTTGTGAACTCCATTCACTTACAATGTGTTTTGAAAACCTTGCAGAGCCTATAGCATTTTAGATGTATTTTGCTAGTGAAACTAGATACTTGCCCTGAAGTAACCTCTAACTGTCAGTGCACTAATGTTCAAACTTCATTTTATAATCACATCTCACATTTCCGTGGTTACAATTTTTATACCAACTTATTAATTTAAGATTTTCTTTGTGAAAGAATTTCACAATTTGACATCTTCACACATCCCAGTCAGGTGAGGGTAGGAATATCTTGGTTGTACCTCTATTGTTCAATAGTTCAGTCTAGCAATCTTGACACAATGATCTAAGCCTTGGTTTATGACCATTTTAAACGTATTTAATCACATAACTATTCTAATACTCTTTGAATAATATTAAATATTAGCATTATGAGAATAACATAATTACAAGTATGACGTTTGCATTAACTATTTTATTTTATTTTATTTCATTTCATTTCACTTTTATTCTGCCTTTCCCTTAATGAGTTCAATGCAGTGTACAGAGTTCCTGCGAGACAAGTGAGACTCGTTGGCCAAAATCGAACAGCTAAAATCCTACTGCTTTTTTCAGAGAGATTGTGTAAGCTGTTGTGGCTAATTGACAAGGTGGCTAGAATATGGTGGGCCTATGCCTAGTCATGTGCCTGACAATATGCCTGACACATGCCCCTGCACTTTATCCATTAGCCACAGTACACAAGAAATGTATGAACATTAATTAGACTGTGGCCAATATTGATAGTAAATGCCATTTACAATAAAATTGTAATATATTATGAAAAACATAGTCTTCTAACCAATTTACACAGAAATCATAATACAGCAATACCTCAGCCCATACATTAAAAACCCTAAATCAGTCCCACAATGTACTTTCACACTGCAAAATGCTGAATCCATCAAACTGGTATCATGAACTTAAGTAGACAAGGGAATGTATATATGTGCCATCTCATCATTTAGGAATTGATTTAATGGGTCTCTCCTATAGGTGGGACTAAAACTAGATTTACAGATCCTAAAAGAATTACAGTCTGTCTCATACAAAAATGTACACAGTAACATTAAACAGAAAAATTTAAACAAGCAAAAAATGGAACAAAAAACAACAGCTGCCCATCAACACAGTAGCAGAACATTCCCATGTCTGATAACTAGAGACGGGGTATTTGTATATGAATATGAATTACCAGGTTACCATTATTTCAGTGGGTACACCTGAATTCGTATATGAATACGAATAGCCCTGCACAGGTGGTTGTGACAAGGGTCCGGGCCCCTGGAGCCAGACTATCCACTCACCCATCTGCCACCAGCACTGGCTCCACTCTCCCTTCCAATCACTCTGGAGCCCAGTCAGCTATCCACTCGACAGAATGGCAGGGAGACTCGTCTTCCCTCCTCCTGCCAGGAGTGGACAGTCAATCAGGAGCTCCACAGCAATTCAAAGGGAGAGTGGACCTGACCCTGGCAGCGGATGGTTGGGACCCAGGGGGCAAGACCTTCATTACGTCCACCTGTGTGGGGTTATTTGTATACGAATACCCCCATCTCTACTGATAATGTTTGAGGATGCAACTGACCAGCCTCAACTGTACCAGTAACCATGATGTCACCTCTAAATATTTTGCTTTTGAATCCATCAGTTTCAACTGGCTCTCTGGCCAGATCTTTGTGATCGCAGCTGAGGATCACATTATTGTATTATATTTTCATTTTCTATTTTTTAAAGCAATTGTTAGTTATTTTATTGTTTTTCTATTGTTTTTAACATTTTATAAGCTGCCTTTGAGTCCCAATTCTGAGAGAATAAGTTTAAAAGAACCTCCTTTAGATATGCAAAGGCTAATTTCTGAAGGAAGCTATACTTAAGGTTCTTTGACTATGGCACAGCACAATGCTTGTATGTGAGAAGGAAAAACAAGCTTTTTTAGATTCTGTGTGACAGGCAAAAACAAAGGAAAAACAAAAAGTACGGTGCCTGAGGAAGTGGACTTGAACCATGAAAGCTCACATCAAAATACAGCAGTTAGTATTTAAGATGCCACAGTGCTTTTGTCTCCTTTTGTTTTTGCCTGATATGCTAGGACAGACTAACACGGCTACCTAATCTAAAACTCTATGTATAGATAGTCGTTCTACACATAGTTGCCTGTAAAAAGAACTGCAGAAAGTTAACACTCTTATTTGCAAGACTTCTTAGAGAGACTTCTTATGGAGAATTAGTGCAGGGAAAGCACCCCAGAGGGAGACCACACTAGACAGTTCCAAGACTTCTATTCAGAGCATGTTACCACAGTCTCTTGAGACTGAAGGATGCCTAAATTTAAAAAAAGTCAGGCATGGAATATAAGGTACTATAGTAAAATCATGTTTTGCCCATTCTCACAAAAGCAATGAAGGTGCTAACTGTTGCTGAAACAGAATGAAAACACACTGCCAAGGTCATGCTTAATAACCCACAGTTGCTATGTTTCCTGGAAGAAGAATCTTCTCAGACACTCTTTTTCAACTTCATGATGCCAAGATAAAAATAAACTGTGTTATACAAAACAGCCATATTTCTAAGAATTCCAGAAGAACACTTTCCAGTATACAGTGGTGCCTCGCTAGACGATGATAATCCATTCCACTGAAATCGCTGTTTAGCGAAAAGCATTTTCCCATTGGAATGCATTGAAACCTGTTTAATGTGTTCCAATGGGGAAGAACCGTCGCTGTCTAGCGAAGATCGGCCATAGGAAAGCCGATTTGCAAACCACCAATCAGCTGTTTAAATCGCTGTCTTGTGAAGCTTAGGTCCCGAAAACACCTGTTTTGCAAGCGCAGAGGGAGCTGTCAAAATCGTCGTCTAGCGAACATCGGTTTGTGAAGAAGGGACCAAACATTGTCCAGTGAAATTCCCCCATAGGAAGCACTGTTTTGTGAATCACTATAGCGATCGCAAAAAGTCAAGGTCTAGCGAAAAAACTGTCAAGCGGGGTATCTGTCTAACGAGGCACCACTGTATATGTCCTCATAATCTGCCAAGTTATAACAAAAATCAAGAAATAATTGACAACAATTTCCAAAATAAAGATACCAGCACCTGTTCACAGTGCTATGGGGTGTCCTTTGTGGAAATAAGACTACTTGCATAGTGATGGGTATGAACAACGCTTCAGAGGTTTGTGCTGATTCATACCACAGATGCTGCGTGTTTCCCCTCCCCCACCTCCACGACCAATGACCCATTCACCAGATAGCACGCGCTCCTCTCCTTCTCCTCAGCTGTTCTACCAGTCCCTGGCAGCAGCACCATTTTGCTCCTGCCAGAGCCGAGTCAAACATCTGAAGAAGAGAAACATAGCACACACCAGCTGGTGAGTGGGGGATCCAACCGGGGAGATGGGGGAAAGGAACATGCAAGCCTCTGTGGTGCTGTGCATACTAAGGTTTGCGTCCATCTCTAGTTATAATGAAACAAGAACAAAAAGGACTGGTACATCCACTAAAGCTGTCAAGCAAGGAGAGACGGTAGTCCCAAGATGTAAAATGGGTATCAATGCTTTATTCAATGAAAAGCCCAACATGTTTCGGCTATTGCACTTTTAGCCTTCTTCAGGGGCTATAACATAATAAATAAAACAGAAAGAGCACATATATGAGCTACTCATTTGACTGGGACAACATATAAGACATTTTAAAAAACATTTTGTGCTAGCATTAATACATTAATATAACTGTCATAGTTTACATTAAGTATTAAAAGTGATTTACAGGAAGAGTAACAATTACTTATAAGTAAACGTAAGAAGTACTGCTACTCTGTGAGTGGAATTATGGCCACAGAAAAGCTTCTGATTCGGTCAGGGTATGCCTCAGCAGGCAGAAAAATATGAGAAGTGGTCTCCAAACGAATCCTGCAAATTTATTTGAGATGTCAAGAGATATTCTAAAGCAACAATGAAGGTGGGATGGAAGGGCTGCAAAGGGAAGGAGGAAATCAGAAAAAATAAAGTCCCCCCTTTTGCTAGCTGTGACATATGCTGAATCAAAACCTACAGTATTTCGTGATCTGGACACCTTCTGATGGCAGAAATGGATACTACTGTGGGTTTCTTGGTTCATGAACCAATGTAGCTAGAAAGTAACAAGAATACCCTTTCTGTATTTTATTACAAGAAAGCACATTACAAAATATAAAGTGATGATGAAAGCAGTATACAGCCAACCCTCAATGAACGGTCCTACAAATGGACTTTTCGATTTACCAACAGCTCCGTTGGCAAAAATTGGCATCAACTTGCAAACAGAGCTTGACCTACGAACGAGGTCGAGGCTCCGTTCGCAAGTCAATGCCATTTTTTGCCAATGGAGCCATCTGTAAATGGCTCCCTGCAAAAAGGCAGAGGGAAAGGGCTGGAAATTTGAATTTCCCGCCCTTTCTCCCTGCCTTGGACAGTAATCATCCCAAAAACAAACTACTAAATCCATCTATCTCTTTGGAACCACCTTATTCAAAGCTTCATCAAAACAGATATCGGAGCTCTCAAAGGGCTTTCTCCGATGTCGGGGGAGCCCATTGAGAACTCCAAAGCCGCTGATCACAGCGGTG